TGCATTGCTGTCGTATTGTGCCACACTTTCAAATCAGAGCATAATTATTCACTAATCTGTCTATTTGACACACAAGGTCAATGTAAGAATAATGAGAATTGTACAAAATGATGAAGCCGCCTTTAGTTCTCCTTTTCCATTGACAAGTTTTCAGGTGACATTTTTTTTCAAGAATAATACAGATTCTATTCAATAAAACATATAAGTACGAGACAAATACAATCTACCGTATGTAGGCTAGAGGAAATCATTTTAATATTTGATGGATTCAAGACAGCAGGGATCCAATATCAAAAGGTAATAAAAGCTGGAGAAACTCGCAGCACTGACTTTACACAAATAACCCCAAACACACCTCCACATAACCCTGTAAAATAATCTGATGTTTTCAAAATGAATGCAACGAAGGCAAAACCGAAAGGCATAAAAGTGAATATATCAAAGAAGTTAGGATTAGGTAAAGGTTATGGAAAGGACCATGTATTGACCAGCTATGGTTAAACGCAGGGTAAACCTCAAGGGAAATAAAGGTTAATTGATGCAATGTCCTTTACATGTGTAGAAGCAACAAACAGCGTGTCTGTGTGTGTATTGGGTTATGGGAAGGGTGTTGAACAGTGCTGACCAAGCACTAAGCATCTCATACATATAAGTTATGCATTGTGAGAATATATTTTCTGAATATACACACATATATAACCGTGAAAATGTCTCCTTGATTTCTGTCTTCAATGGATTTAAAAGAACTGGGTGATGTTGAACCTGTAAACATGAGCCCTCTTTATATTCATCGTTAATTTGTGGTAATTGAAAGCAAAATGTAAGACGCTAACTGGCCAAAGAGTAATATGTGTTAGTTAATAGTCGAGGTGCGAATCTAAGCCAGGATGAAGTATTATCTAACAAATGTAATAGCATCCTAATAGCATTATATTCCCTCCGGCTACTGCACAATTTTTCCATCAACCTAAATGCCATTTTGCTTCCAATTGTAAGCCAGTACTGTAAAGCTATACTATAAAGCGTACCATGGTTGGCAAAAGCAACAAAAAGCGTTGTTAAACATTCTGTTGATGTACGTTTTAAAAATCCACAAATTCTAAGGCTTTACTCGAGTGGGATGTATGAAGTGTGAGAACTGGGAAAAAGGGTCAGAATAAATCAGCATAAAGGCTTGGCGAGGAGGCAAACTACTAAAGAATATATAAAGAGAACACAAGAGACTTGTATGTTTATGTTGTGTGAGCTGCTGGCCGTCACATGCATGGCCAAGAGGCGCAACATCGGAAGTGCAATTACATGCAAATAGCCACATTGTCAAGGCCATCAGTGGGAATGAATGGAGATAAAAGAAGCACTTCAAACACCATCTATTTTTATTGACAATCAAACACTGGTCCAGCACTACCATTAAACTGCTCTCTTTTGATCAGACATGTGGCATGAATACTTTGCCAGAGCCCCCCCCCCCCCGTTGCTATTGGTACTAAAAATGAGGGAAGATGACAAACTGAAATGGGGCAATTTCTGTTGACAGGCTTCTCTAAAACAGGAAATCCTGACATGCTGTAATAGCTAAAGCCAAAAGACTCCATGCTGTGCCAGCAACTAGAAACACTGGCTCCTTCTAGACAGCTGCTAAAGAAAACAGCAGAGCAGTCGATAATCTGTGTGTTCTTGGTGAGATGAAGGAAAGATTGCCGGGCCCAGATTGGATTTTCTAGTTTCTGAATTCTCATCTGCAATCATCAGCAACACTTCTCCCAGTCCATCTGTGGACAAGTGTCTGATTATTGATGAAAGAAAACAGCTGACAATAAGAGACGCTTTGGAGCAGTTGGAGACGCAAGCCTCAGGACATATTTATTCATGCTGAGGAATTCATTTTGATACAGAGAGCGTCAAGCATCATCTCAGTGAAACGGGCAATAACAAGAACTTGATTTTAGTAAGTGAATCAGGGAAAATAACTGAGCCACGGTTTTGAAAGGCGGGATGCTAATACTGAAATAATACTACTAATAATAATAATCTGTCCTACAGGCTTTGAGTGTAGGCTATGTGAACAAACTCATAACATTCGGATGGTGTTTAATTCCACAGAGTTTCCAGAGTCTCTTCCATCAACTTAAAAGTCAGAAATAATCAGCGCTCAGCAATCAATGGCTGAAGCAACAGTATAACACTCACTGCAGGCCTCCATAGAAATCAGGCGGCATGCCAATCTGAGCCCCTGCCAGCAAATGTCTGCTTAAATGGTGACTCTCATCCTGCACACCGGATATTCAATTTGTTCCGTAAGCCGGGGATGAAAAAGCAATTATTCACAGTCCCCTCTTTTCACGATCTGTTTCTCTCAGATATGTCCCTTCTTCCCCCCACTAACAAATAAACCTCCAGATTAGTGCAGTGTGTGGCTGCTCACAGGGGCAGCCAGTTGAAGCACTTAGTTCAGGCCAAAAAAAAAAAGTCTGTCAATCAGTTTGAACGATGGGAGTGAGGTTTTAGAAGACAAAACACACACTCCCCACCAGCCTTGTGGGGCACGGGTAAAAGCCACTAGATAATGGCTTGATAGCTGGATGTCACTTCGAAGCATGGAGGAAAGGAGTAAGCACATGTCAGAAAAACACTTTCTTTTACATGAATTACACTACACAGAGCGCCCTGAAACCAAGCAGCCCTAACTTGATCAGGGAGAAGCGCTGTCAGGGGAACCCACTCAGCCGAGGCTCCAATTTACACTTGGGGTATTAGGTGGGACCCTAGCGTGACTGTGCGGGGGGAATAAAAACACAGAGCTGCTTCATATGCTCTCCGTTACTGGAACACATCCTGGGACAAGTTGGTGGATGTAGTGAGGCAGAGAGAAGCTCATGTTTCAGTCATAACCCTTGTTTCCTTCAGATGTCGCAGGAAGAGCACCTGTTGATTGAATGTGTAATTGGCTCCCTCTCAGATAGCGAGGATACAAAATTGATGTATGAAAGATGAAAAGGGGGAAGAGAGACAGTGCCATGACCATAGGGTGAATGGAAAAGAGGGATAAGGCTCAGAAGTTATCCATCTGATAAGGGCAGTGTGACAGCAGCAGACCTATGGATGTCGAGGAAGCTTAAGGCTCGACATCCATGATTGAGTTTCCCCACCTCGTGTCCCATTCCACAAAAAAACTTCAATATATGTGCTGCCTTCCAGGCCCAGCTCAAATAATGCAGGACTTTGCATTATCCGGACACCAATTATATTCTATTCTATGTTAGGAAGCTATAGAAAACACGGAGAAATAAGGCATGAACTAATGCCAAATGAAGGGTTTTAAACGAGCGCCATACAGAGCATGTGACAGGGTTTGCCTGAAAGAAAATGGCATGACGGGTGAAGCTTCCTCGGCTGGCCCACTAAAGATAACACGAACGGTTAGCCTTCAAAAGGAGCAGGCCTAAGCCAAGGATGATTGTCAATGCCATTTCTAACAGCATTCTAACCGAAGAACAAAAGGGCTTGTTCATTCTGCTGATTTGCATTTTAATGTCTGCACGCAAAAAAACAATACTTCTTTTTATTAACTGGTTCGATGTTGAGCTGTCTATTTTTTATGAAAAGTACCTACTGTCTCTTCATAGCCTTAGTACTTTGTATTAATATAAGGCTACACTGTCAAATCTGGGTTTTATGTCTCCAACACGGTTTGTTGCTACATTATTAATATTGCTTAAATATTTCATTTGTTAAATTATTTTCAGAATGTGTGATGTTCTTCGAGGGCTCTAACACATCGACACTGGTTCCTAACTGCTTAAACAGCTGAGTGCATAAAGTGATCACGATCTTAATAAATGAGCGTGGACATTTTGTGTGACCGTGTTCATCTTCCTGTTACCACATCATTGCTTTGACACAGATCACAGTACCTGTTAACTCCCCAATAAGCAGTCCGCGCACAAAGCCAAATCGGCCCAGCTGTTACATCCTTCATGGTCTGTATTAGAATGATGAGCGTGTAGAATCGAGCAACATTGTAATGTGGCACGCTTTGGGGTTTTAAAAAAGCGGAAATCTTTGTTTGTAAAATAGTGTTTTAAGTGGCTATGAGGGTATTTCTAACAAATTGCCAGAGCTGAATAGTAAATGTGGTTCCCTTTAAGCTTTGATGCAGATGTCTGTGTGTCTTTTTTCTCGTAAAATCCCAACCCCACAGCAACAAATGCTTCCATGACTACAAAGGATAAATGACAAGGCGGAGGATGAATACTCAGCATCATGTTGGAAATCTCCATGTTTAAAACTAACACCATTTGAGAGGGACTTTCTCTTTAAATGACCATCCATCACCATAAAGAAATAAAAAATCCGTAGTTTTTTTTCATGCAAGGAATGCATTTTAATCAACATACATCTATTTCACGCTGCTGGAGACTATCATATTCAAATGTAATTAAAAAAATACGTACCGATATGCACACATTCCAGAAATGTGGTGCTAGGTGGTGACCTTACATGAGAAAAGGGCTTCACATTGTCTTTACATTGAAATCAACTCTTAGACAGTGTCAAAACAGAACAGACACGTTTCTCTGATCTGATTTCATGTGTCTCCAGTCTGTAGGCAATTCTTGCTTTTTAGGTGACCTTTTTAAAGATGGAGGGCAGACAGTATAATCGGGATGATTAATCCAGCGTTTACTTTCCCTCGTAAGAAGAGCACAGGTGTTGCTAATAACTTGAATGATGAATCGGTTTTATTTTAGCGTCCCAGTTAGTCATGACAGTGTGACGGTGAACTAGCAGGCACACTACCAGGACCCTGAAATGTATCAGCTGTAAGAAATTCAGCGTACATTATTTAGTATTATTAACACGTGTGCTTTCTTTAGTTTCCACACTGTATTGATAACTTGCTAAACCATGACCCTTAACTAGAGCAGCTTTCAAACCGAGAAATCCATGTACCGAAAAATAAATAATGGAGAAAATAACTGATTTATAGAAATATTTACCGCAAGTCGCTGGTGGTCAACCACTAAAGGAGGATGGGGGGGGGCTGGTTGTGGCTCTTCCTCCGTCCTTTCAGTAATTCCCTTCAGCTGCTCTGACATCTCGGCTGTGGAACCCCCTATAAAAAGACAAATGGATTATTGATGGAAGAAGGGTTGACCATGTGAGTTACAGTGTGAACATCAAAAACATCCTACAATGAAGGGGTCGGCTACATTTAAATACCTCTTCGGAGTTACGAACCGCTGAATAGCACAAACTAGGAAATAAATTCCAACTGCCATGGCTACAAGATGAATGCAATACGTGAAGAGAATACATATTAAAGTACTTGCCGCTACAATATTTCACATTTGGTCTTTTTCCTGTCCATTTATAACAGTGCTCAAGCGACACTTTGATGCAAGCAAAATGCCTGGCTCAGCTTGTAATGAGCGCGGGGCGGAGTGGCTGGGTTGTCTGTTGTTTGAGGAGCCCTGGTTTGTTTTTGTTCCGTTTGCTGATCGTGCCATCCTCTGATGGCTTCTCCATATTCTAGGAGCGCCATTACCTCGGCTTTCCAGCTGGCCCCTAGTCGTCACAAGCCAAACCACAGGCCCGTAATCACACCCATAAACCTTTTGGCTTATCTCTGACTCAACAATAGAAACGGCATAATGGCTCATGGCAATTGTGAATCTTTTATAGACAAAAAAAAAATAAGTCAGAATACATATCAGAAGCTGACGAGTGTCTACAATGGTACTCGTAGCTTCAAGCATGTGGGGTTTCTCCATTGAATTATACTATCTGCTAAGCCAGAGGATAGCATTTCTATATTCTGTATGACTTATGTTGCATAATTCATGTCCTCTCTCTACTTTAAAAGCTTAACCGAGTGCAAATCACAGGAGCTGGATAGTAATCAAAAAAGTAATTCATCGTCGTAATTAGGTGGTGGGCAAAGCACTGACTGGATGTATACAAATTAACAGATTTTGTTAACTTGCTTAATTGCATATCTACTGTGAAGATCAACTGATTAGCAAGTGAAATGAGGAAACCAAAACGAGTAGCTGAAGAGTGAAAGATGTGCTCTCAAATCTCATCTGTGACCCGTAACTCATTACTTAAAATACAACATGCATCCAGCAACAACAGCATTTGGATTAAATGTTTAGTGCTGTATATATTTACATTTTCAAGGAATGCTGAAAACATACAAACATCCCAAAAATAATAATAATAATACTTGAGATTAAGTCTGCACAGTTTATCACTTATTCATTATTATCACGAAATGGTTTCAAAGTAGACCGTTAAACTAAATTGCACTGAATACAGGTGAGGAAGAAACTTATTTTCATGCTAACATCTGGTAATTAGCAGGAATGTAGCACAGCGTGAAAGTGAAAGCAGCGCTCTTGTGATTCTATTTTGGGCAAAAAGGTTTTAGCACAATGTACCTTCTAATTTGGTCCTAGGAGATGCTCCAAAAATAAGGACTCTTCTTAGCTTGAAATAAGATTTGTTCTTTGGCAGCAGTATAATACAGCATGGAAGTGAAACGGCTGTGTTTGTTTCAATGTGTTAGTCTAATTAAGATATTGTGTCCCAATCCCAAATCAATGACTTCTTCGTTATAGATTATTGTTGTCTCAATATTGATCAAAAATAATCCTGATAATCATTTGGCAATAGTTGTGCTTGAAAGAAAGGGAGAAAGAGCTCTATTTTCCAATTTCTAATTCTATTTAAGATCACAGAAAACTCAAGGTGTAGCATTATACCTTCTGTATGTTGATGTTCCACAACATTTCCTGTTTCTGCTCTCCCATCCTGGGGAGGGTGCTCCTGAGTTGGGTTGCTCTCGTGTTTATCTTTGTGCTCTTCCAGTTCTGGTTCATTAGAGCACTGAGCCGTGCTATGAGCAGTTCTTTTCTCACCCTCGCTGCTCCCCTGGAGGCTGTGTGAGTCCAGGCTGTCCATTGACTCGTTTCCATTCACACAGTCCGCTTGTGATACTAAGACACCCTCTGTGTGCTTAGGCTGGACCTCAGCATCTGAAGATTTGGACAATTCAATTGACAGCTGGAAGTCAGCCTTCTTGGACTGGCCATCCCCATCTGCCTGGGGCTGAGAACTGCCACTGAGGCGAAGCAGCTCACTGTGTTTCTCTGTGTTCTCAGGCTCTGCCTTTTTGGCCGAGGGTTCCTCCTCCGTAGGCGTTTGCTCTTTTTGGGCTTCGCTGTCATCTGGAGGTTCAGCAGGAGCTGCAACAGGGGGCTCGTTGGAGCTCTCCTCTTCCGTAGAGGGGACATGGGGATGGTGGCCATTGGGCTGGGGTCCCATGGTGTCACATGATGATTCCTCGTCCTGCGTTAAACATGAGTCACTGGGCCCCACAGCTTCCACCTCGGCCTCGGGCTCCTCGGGCTCCTCCTCCTCTTCCTCCTCGTCCATTCCTTTTTTGTAAGTCTTCTTCTTACGAATGATGCCCCGCCCCCAAGATGGCCGCCGGCGAATCTTCCGCTTTATGTGATCTATGATAGAGAAAAAAGATGGAGAAAGACAAATAAATAAAATATTACATTAACCATCAAAACATTTAAAGTTTAAGAATAACTAAGAACTAGAATGACATCCTCAATGTTTGTATCCTTTTGCTAACAAGTTGCTGTTTACATCCATGTCTGTCTAAAATCTCATCACCTTATATTTATGGTATGAGACATTTGTGTGAAATTGTCCAAATTAGCGTTATTTACAAAGAAATATCTTGGGGGGTCACAGTGACAATGACCTTTCACCATCAAATTCAGTTGTTTTTTGTCCAGAGGCATATGTGATCCAAATTTGAAAAAGAGACATAATGTTAAAAAGATTGGATGGTGGAAAGCAAGGACATAAACAAACACAACTTTCTCATGTTTAACACCATCATCTTTTTCGTCTCCATGTAGTATTATATTCGTGTTTGCAATTGAATGTATTTTAATATGGACGTTTGGCCTTTTTCAAAGATTTACAGGCAGTGGGTGAAAAAGATTGTAAGAGAGAGGCAGCCAGACACAGCAGCCCTGCTACATCATGGTTGTTGGACACTAATGACAACAGATGGTGTTCTGGGTTTTTAAGAGGAAGGGAGAAACAGAAGCCGGCTTTCCAAGAGTGCAGTAAAAATGTCAAAGCAAGCAAGCAAGAATGCTAAATGCAGTGAAACTTGAAGGCATTTGCCTTCATTTACTTCCAAAGCAGACGCTGAGATACAGACCAGAGCAACAAAGTCAGAGAGAAGAGCCAACAGAACGAAAGTGTGAGAGAGCAAACACATAGGGACCCACACATGTCGGTTTCCCAGGGACAAAAGCATTGAGTCACATCAGAGGGTATAATGCTCAGCACCAGCAGGATAAAAACTGTAATCCTATCATAAACTATGAACAGTCTCAAAAAGGAAGAAATAACTTCATAAAGATCCCACATGCATGTGCATGATGTCATTGACCCGAGACGTGAATATAGATCACAATGGACTCATTAAAAATCCAAGCCATTGTATTTCAAGTCAAAGGCCACATGAATGAGCTACATCTACGAGGTGGATCTTATGCAGAATCAATAACCGTGTCAGCCTGGTTCTGAAAGGACTAAATGGACTGGACAGCATTATTTTATTCAACATCTTACTATACAGCATACTTCTACTCCCTTTATGCTTTGAGCAAAGCGTTGGATTTAATACTACCGAAGGCTTCCATTGTATAATTCGTACCTTCCCACAAAGACACAAATAGGCAATATCTGACAAGAAATCATGAAATGCCTGCTTGTTGACTGTCAAGTCTCCTTTCCCTCAAAGCTTTTATCCACATATCCTTTTACCACTGTAAAGATGTGATTATGCACACTGTGCGTACTTCAGAGGTAGGTAGAAAATTATACCTGTTTACTTGTCAATGGAAAGGGAGCAGAAATGGAAACATTACACAAACAATTTTTTATCCTAAAAAACACAACATAAACAGGGATAATAAGTGAACCTTGGATTACTAATGTGTACAGGACCCTCCTATTTAGTAACGTTGACCCCTTAATGACCAGCCAAGCACTTCCTGTCACAACTAGCACAACAAAAAACCCATGGAGCAAGTACGCTTGCTGCTAGCTAATGCTCGACAATAATTCTAACAAATGCAAATTCACATAACTTTAGTACATTTAGGTAATATTTCGTATCATGCACACTTTCAAGGACATTTCGAAAAGTACTTAGTCCATGTGATGAAGTGAGGCCGTGAATTTTTCACTAGGTCTGATTTTATAATACACCCAGTGTTTAAGCCGTGTTCCGGCTTTTGTTCATTAATGGAGACCTTTTAAAAACAGCGCTATGAGCAACGTGCATGCACAATAATGTAAATGATAATCACAGGAGAAAGGACAACCGGTTTGCCACTAGTAATTCACACATTTCACAGACACTGGTCTTTAGGAGACAAACAAATGATAAGCCAGGGCCTGGGCAGTTTTCCCTGTAGAGAAAGCCAACAGAGCGGGAGGTTCAAAGAGACAATGACAACACACACACACAACCCCCTGCCATGGCATGCTTCAGCGATCGACAGCCATTATGCCCAGTTTGTCATTGAGCCTTTTTTCAAGTGTCAAGGTGGGATGCAGCTTTAGTTTTGGTTTCCTTCTGATCGGATCTGGAACGAGGAGACAGCCGAAGGGTAAGCTATGAGAGTATGCGAAAAGTGCCATTCTTTTTCAGGCATGACTGGCCAACGGGATAGTTGCAATGCAGTAACTTGGAGATTGGAAAAACAGAAAAAACTAATAATTGTTATATTATCCGAGAGGATACATTTCGTTTAGAATGGTCATGTGTCAAAGCTTGGGTCTTTTCAAATTAAGTAAAGAAAGTATTGCTTCTCTGCTCTGAGTTTTACATTTATGAGTTTTTCTTTAAACATGTTATGTCTATTCAAATATCGCCAAGTCAAGGCAAATGTCAGCATGTAATTATGAATAGAACATAATAAAAAAGAAACATAGAAGCTTCATTTTCTTTTTACCCCGCTATGGATAAATATTTCTCAATCTTTCTATACACAAAAGATCCACAAACCAGTGAAAGAGGTCTGGAAAGGGTCAGGTATCACCATCAGAGCTATGAAGCGAGGAAAAGGTGAGATAGAATGGCAGCAAATGAATCGTAATAGTCAGCTCTTAAATAATGCATGAAACAGCCAACCACAGAGGGAAGATAAGCTGATGGTGGAGAGTAGGAGGAAGGGAAAAGAGTGCCAGAGCACTTTGTAATAATTAAAAGTGCCTAAACCCTGCTAGATTCAAGAATTGGTAGGAACATTCGGAGCTGACATCACACACACTTTCAGGACAGTATGTGTGTGCACATGCACATACTGACAAATACAGCTTCTGATAGCAAAAAGCCCCAGGAGACAAGTACCAAAACTGCCGTACCAACAAGTATTAAATAAATAAATCAGTGCTGTGACACTGATGGACAATTCAGCGCTATACTCTGCCAATGCCTTTGGGTGGAATTGTGAATCAGAGGCTCTGATTCACTGATGTCTTTATTTAATAATCTCTAGTCTTCCTGGTAGTGGGAAAGTCACGCACAGTGTTGAAAATAGGACAAAAGGAAGGACATGATCTGTAGACTCTTTAGAATAAAACTAGAATACAAAACTAATTGAATGCATTATTCTGTGTTCAGGGTTAGCCGTTTTCCTTCCAAAAGGTATACACAGCCAGACTGATCCACTAGTCTCTTTGGAACAATCGAGTCATGAAAGCCCCAAAGCTTTGTCAGTTTAATCCAAATAAGTATCTATCTAAAGTTTATAGAAAGGCCATCTGAGGAAACACTGAAGCACCCCATGCCCATAGCATTATAGTGAAGCTATTTATTACTTTGATATGGTCCCCAGACACACAAGCCCATAAAGGCAACTGTATCCATCTCAGATAGATGGGTGTGATGGGTCTGTGGGCGCATTGCCAGACTTTCAACAGCACTAACTCATACTGTACAATACTTACTGTGAAACCCAAATATTGGCAATCACTCAGATGGGCTGCTGTTTAAACTCTTTGATAAGTTCAATTTCACATCATGAAAAATATATGGACTGAAACTTATCAAGTCTGCCATTTTGGGAAATTCTATTATTGTTTTTTTGTCCAGAGAAGATTGATCCCACTCTGATGCCTGAAGATAGACGGCACTCGTGTGCAGGATCGTTTCTTGGTTGGGACAAGTATCTTCATTGAGTCTGGTTGCCATGCAACTTGTCCTAAGCGTTTCTCACAAAATATTGAAAAAGCCCAGAGGACACAGTGAAAATATTAACTAAAATGGAGGCATCAAACCTCTTATCCTCACCAAACCATGCAGACACACTATAAACTGAAATGTAATCATCCACTTGGGACCCGCTCCAGTATCTATCGACAAACACACTGTCCATTTACAATTTGTATATCTCATGTAAGTGCATCATTACCAGAATTGCGACCCGCTTTAAAATTCACATTTGGCTAAAGTTGTGTCCTGTGAACTTTAGGACCTAAACATAAAAGTCTTTGTAAAAATATGATAAAAGCTCAACATTTACTGCTTGGTTAGAAGTGTATTTTTTTATTATGATCTTAACAAAGGTTCCAATTATCACCCTGAATAATGTGAGGAACAGTAATTGCAACAACTACAGAGTGTGAATGCTGACATTGTTACACATGCAGTAATGCCATCCACTTGTGAGCACTTTTGGATATCAACACCAGTTGAACACATTTTGTTCAAACTGTAACTGTGATTGCAGACAATACTAATCTTACTGAAGGTTCTCATTAACATTCAAGCTTTAAACATAAAATACACCTTAGCCTCCACACGACGATATTAGCTCCTTTGTTTTAAAGCGACTGGAGCGCAGTAGAGATGCAGTGCCTGTCCATAAACATAATTTCACCAGATTTCTTGTCAGCTATCCAATAAAAGGGATTATGACTAAGAGTGGTATTGACAGCATCTTGACTAAGAAAGGTTAGGCTTATTTGAGGCTAGTGCAGTAGCACTTAAAAACAGTTTGACTTATGAAAAGCTAATGTTCTGACAGAGTACTTGCTTTTTGAGTTTGTTTTTCCATGGTTGAATGCATTTATTGTAAGTCGCTATGGATAAAAACCTCAGCGAAATGAAATGTAATATAGAGGATGGTAATTTAACTGATTAATGAGCTGAAGAAACGTATTTCAATAATTGTCTTGCCATTAATGTCCCAAACTATACATTGCTGCTTTTTCAGTCACGTCTCATGTTTATTTCATGGACATGTGTCGTAAATGTTCAGTGCCACTGGTCCGGAAAGTCAGCCAGTCTGCTCAAATCAGTCCAAATTCACAGTCCTCTCCTAACCTCTACAGATGCCCTGTTGTTTACTAACCTACTTACGTGTGTGTGTGTCTGTGCGTCTGCGTGTGTGTATTCATTTTCCTTGCCTCC